CTAAGGAGGAGACAAGGCTTCTGATGACTTTGGTGAAGATCCTCCCTCTGACATAGTGTCTCTAAAAAGAGGACTGTATGGGAGGTCCTATGAGGAAAAAGTCTTTCTAAACCAGGCCACTTGTTGTGGCTGCATCCCTTTTGCTAGCTCTACCTGCCTGCCCAGGCATCTCTGGGTTGAGGAATAGAGTCTCAGGCATACTGGGATAAAAAGGGGTTTTGGATCCAGTCCTCTGCTGAAGTTGGATCTCTTCTCCTGATTCTGTCTGTCTGATAAAAGATACTGGAAAGTCTCCAGCCTGGCAGAGAAGGAGAGTGCCTCCCCTAACTGCTTATTTCTGGCAAGATTCCCAATCAAGCCTCCTTCTGGTGGTGTTAGGTTCATATGATGTGAAAAGAAACCCAACTTGACACAGAGGAGGAATCAGAATACCCAGGATGCCTTCTGTTGCTAGGTTGGGGGTCCATAAATGCCAAGTTTGGTTGGTCTTTTTTCCTGAGTGAGAGGTCTCAGATTTTCTGCTGTGTGCTGTTCCTCCAGTTCCGAGGTCCAAAAAGAACTCTTCTCTTTATTTCCTTTCAGAGGCCTCCTTTCATTGTTTCTTGTACCATTTCCAGGATTTATAGTTGTGCTTAAGGAGGAGAAGCAAGGATAAACAGATCTATGCCATCTTGTCTGGACCCAAAGAATCAGTCTACTCAATTTTGAAATGAGGAGTTTCAAACAATTGTAATTTAGAATTACTTTTTCTTTGAATGTACTTTAAGGTAGACTAGTATAGTACTGGTTTTAAATCTTTAAAAATTAAATGTTTCTTTTATATAAGTAAGATCCATGCTATCAATTTGACAAGATATAAATAGTAGGCTTACTCAATTAAACATGGTTGACCTAGCACACACATTAATTTTTGCTACCATCCAATTTATTTTTCAGGTATATTGTATTGGGTTTGGACTATATTAATGAAAACATTTTAGAGTACATGGACATATAAAATAATGGTATCATTTTTTGCTATGAAGAACTATGAAGGGTATGAGATTTTTTTTCCCTGTCTATATGCTAACAAGTTAACCTTTCACAAATTCCTGGATGCTAGTAGAAAGTAGGAGGCTGCTGGGTCAGAGACAAAGGACTCAGGTACAGCACAGCAAGTAGGGTGAACTTTGCATTTGCATAAGTTCTCCCTAAACCCCAAGTTCCAAAGGAATGGACCAGAGAGGGTCCAGGTATTTGCTGCACATGTAGTCTCTTTGCATCACAGCTGAGGAACCTTGAGCCTAGGGAACACTCAATCTTTAAAAAGGCCAGCATTTACCTCTCATGCAGCACCCTCTAGGATAGTAAATCCACCCCCCACCCCCCACCCCCGTCCCCAGGAATTGTGATGTAACTTCCCCACAGTCCTGCACTTTGGAACAACTGAAAAATACGGAATATAAATCTGCATACAGGGTATGCAGCATAAGCTCACTTTAGAAATCATCTCCTTCAGGAAGAGTTAACTGAATCCTTAGACAATGCTAAGTCTTCTCTGCTATGCACTGGTTTATGTGTGAGACAAAAACTCCATGCCTTGAACATAAGCCTTGTCCATATCTTTGCAGAAAGATATTCTTCTGAGATAATTATAAAAGTACCCCATGCCAATAGTCAAAGTTTCAAGAAAAATGTCCTGCAGTACAGGCTTTATAAATAGGATCCATTTATTTACTAAGTCCCAATATGTTCCCCAAAATATGATTTGAAGGGCCTGAATTAAAGTAAACCATGTCCTTCTTTTCAGGTTGACTATGTTGGCAAGAATCTAACTAAAATAAGTTGAATGATGATTGGCAAAACTGACCCAGCCTCAGTGGGTTGAAAGAATAATGCATAAAAGGATTAAGAAAAAAAAATGTGTTTTGAAAAAGTCTTGCAATCTGAGGTGTCAAAAAGGAGACTATGTCATTGGAATGATAGAAATTCAGATTTTTGACAATGCTTCAACTGAGACAGCAAGATGTTCATTCATCAAAGGGTCACAACAAAGGCTCAGAATTCAGGGAACTGGGAGAATCTGTATGTTATCAAGGATATGGCAAATGTGTGATATGGTTTAAGAATAAAGAAATGTAAAGAAGAAGGAAAGAGTAGAAAAAGAAGAAGGAAAGAGTAGAAAAAGAAGGAGGAGGAAAGGGAGATGAGGGGCAGGGGAGTGAAGAAGAAGGAGAAGAGGGAATTTTCAAGAGTTGAAATATAGAAATATGTGGCATTAATTCCTTTTTAGGATATTCCCAGAAAGATTAAAAGTAAGACATATCAAATGATCCAGTTTTTGTATTTTTTCTTTGGATTTAGCTTTCTCTGATAACAAATATAACTGAATTATACACACATACACACACACACATACACATACAGAACAAGTAGCATTGTCATGGATTTCATTTACATAGTGTCATCCTGAATTTCAACTTTTAGAAGGTTAAATTTGAATAAATTTCAGGATTAAACTCTGTTTATAACTAGAGGAAAAGAAGTCCAGGTAAGGGAGACAGTGATAGAATCAAGGCAGAATAGTTAAGAGGCTATATCAACTATCCAGAGATCTATGGTACAGGTAGTAAGAAGTCTTTAGGTTCTGCATACTTTTAGATTATAGAAGCAAGAGAGATTTGTGATCGCTAGATGTGAGATATGAGATAGTAAAATTAAGCCTTTGTTAAAATCAATGGACTATACACTACTAAGAGTGAATTATTCTGTAAACTATGGACTTTAGGTGATAACAATGTGTCGGTGTACATTCAAATGTACCACTCGGTACTGGATGTTGATAGTGGGAGAAGTTGTGCCTGCGTGGGGGAAGGAGGTATATGGGAATTCTCTGCAATTTCTGCTTAACTGTACCATAAACCTAAAATTGCTCTAAAAATAAAGTCTATTAGTTTAGAAATAAATAAAAAGAAAATAAGAATAATAAATGTCTTAAGCAATTAGAGAAATGGAGTTGCCATTTATGAAGACAGAAAGACTCTAGGGGAAAGTTTCTGCTAAGTTGAGAATCATGAGTTCAATTTTGTCCAAACTAAGGGTAATGTACCTTCTAGATATATAAGTAGAAGTATTAAATGGATACTTAGAAATATGATTCAAAAGTTCAGGGGCAGAATCTAGGCCAGAAATAAAAACTTTAAAAATGTAACTATACAGATTGTTTTCAAATATACAGAGATGTTTTGATCACTGAAAGAGTGAGTAGAAATAGAAACTCCAACAATTCAGGGTCAGGAAGGTGAGAAGAAACAACTGAAAGGATGTAGAGGAGCTTCCGGGGAGGAAAGAGAAAAACAAAAAATGGTAATACATAATAACTGATCATTGGATGTGGTAACGTGAAAGTCATAGAAATCATTGACAAGAGAAGTTTTCTAAAGTTGTCAGAACAAAAACCTGATTGGTTTGGGTTCAAGGGAGAATGAGAAAAAGGTTGCTGGGTTTCTATAAGATAAGATGGTTAAATCAGATTATTTTAGCATATCCTCAAAATATTATATATATATATTATATAAACATAGAAAACTTACAATATAACCTGTAATCTGTGGTTAATAGTATCATACAGCATAAATAAAAACAGAATTTACAACAAACTTTAAGTTAATGGAGAAATAAACTTCTAAAACTGGAAGACACATCTACCACTACAGAGCATAGAACTAGGAGAAAATCAGGCAGGAAGGATATCTTTCCAAAGTAGGACATACATAAATACAGATTGTGCTTTTTCTCATGGCTAGAGACATATTTATACTCCATGATTCCTGAATATACACCAGATAGCTAGGGTTGTTATGCAAATGACCTTTTCATATGCATAGTAGTGCTGAAACTGGATGATAGAATTTGAGTCATGTCATATAGATGATATTAAAATATTAGTCATCAGGAACTGATTTCTAATGATAGTATCTAAAATTAGTAGCTGATTTCCACAAATTAAAAACAAAACATATTTATTCAATCTATATTAAGGAAAAACAAATGAATGTTTTAGCCTAAATTAAAACTTCAGTTGTGCTAGTCTCAAATTTCTATGCAAATATTATAATTTCTGATTATGTAACTCATAATGACAATTTAACAGTTACACAATTACATTATACAACTTAAAACACTCAAAAAGAACATTGCATAAGTATACATGTAATTTGAGAATTTGTTTCTAAGTAACATATTAAGTAATGCAATAATTATTCCAGAGGAAATTAGTTTATTATTTATTTGCCTGCTAAGATATTGAGATTTCATTAATGCATAGCTTATTATATTCAGTCTCCCACAATGATATTTAATTTAGGTAATGAGAAAGATCGATAATATTTTTTTAAAACTCTGAAACTATAGGCAAAAAATAAATAAAATAGGTCCTTCATCATACAGAAAAGGAGACCAGTGCTTGATATCTCTCATTTAACTTATCTAATTGGAATTGTACTCTAAAAGAAAATGTTCTTCATAAAAATAAGCATTTCGAAAAAATAAGTGACATGTTGCCAGTACCAAGTGAAAATGAAATACCAAACCAACAATTAGAGGCTGTGTGAGTTAAGGGAAAAATAAAAATTACAAACCTGAATTTGGAATTACAAATCAAGATTAGGTTCCCAGCTCTCCTGTCTTGGTAGCAAATCATGTCATCTACTTACTGAACTCACATAGGCTTTGTAATAGTTAGGTTAAAGAATGTGTGGCAGAGAATTTTATAAAAAATATAAAATTCTAAGTATGTATCACATAGTAAATATTTTTACATAATAATAAACATGATTTCATGCATACAAGATGTATGACACAAAGCTGCAGAATATAATATTCACATATCCAGGTCTTATTAACCATAAAGTTTAAATATATTATATTTATATATTATTTTATATAATGTAATTAACATTTATATATTATTATTACTAGTTAATAATGACTATATTGCTTAATTTTTTTCTCTATACTAGAATTGTCACTGAGCTCAAATAAGACATAAAAGACACCGGGAGGAGGCTGTCTACCTGGTAGCAAAGAAACTAAGGGCGTCAGAGTTCCATTAATAAAGCCCAGGTAGCTCAACATTACACTGATCTTCACTTCCCAAGAAAGAGAACAATCACAGATCATAAAAGAGGCTTAGAGCTATGTTCTAGAAGGTGAAATTTAAATGGGTTGTGTATTATAGTACTGAAATATTGTTAAATAGGAAAAAAACACAAATATATTCTCAAACTGTACAAATTTCCTGCTTCGGGTAGGGTAAAGTGACACAGCAACTCTAGGTGTAAAATTCCCACAAAAAAGAAGCAGATGCTTTCAACACTAGTAGTTCCTCCTTGTTAGACCATCACCATTTGTATTACATGCTCTCTAACACTTACCTATACTTTTCTTTCCTTGACAAAATCAGATCTTCTCCAGACTCTCTCAAAATCAGTTAAATTTCATTTGCCTGAGGATCAGTCTTGATTTTATTGCGTGAGAACACCCTACATTTGCGCCCTAAATATAAAACTTTATTTATCTATCAGTGTATTGGTGACTACACTTCTTTTCCTTTGAGACAAACTTTTTATTTATTTTATTCTTAAGGATGAAAGGCATAATGTTTATAGGTTAACTCTCTGATGCTCATTTTTGTCAAAGAATAATAAAACATGTCAATGAAAAAGACTGACAAGGGGATTTTTGTTTTGTTTTGTTTTGTTTTGTTTTCTATTTTTAATAGGGAAAAACCTTACAGAAAGAAGGTAGACATTCTGGCTCTGAACAGAGAGTTTGCTGCCTGAGGCAAGAACAAGCAATGAAAAGGCTATAGAAAGGGTAGTTTCAAAATAAGTGATTTTCACAAATTTTAACTTTTTTTTTTAAAGAGTTAAACAGATTTACTTCCACCAGAGTGGGAACAAAGAAAAGTTGCATGGATAGGTACAAACCTCAAAGCTGATGATATATAATAGTAGTTTTTTGTTTTTTTGTTTTTTTCCATTTAACAGAGTTGAATTCATTGTATTACTCCAGATATCAACGTATTTGTGATAGTGGCTCTCAAAGTCTACTGTGCATAAAAATAGCCCAGAGGTCCTGTTTAAAAATGCTGAGTTCCTTCTCCCATTGTCAGAGATGGAAAAAGCAGGCCAGGTGATTCCTATATAGGCAGTCCATGGATCCCCACATGTTGAAAAACTCTGTGGACACCGTTTAATGAAAACCATATGGAGAACAACTGCTTTGGTATGTACACTGAGAAAAGACATTTGAATATTCACTCTGCCACAAATATGGTTAATAATAACTAACACATTTTCTCCTAGGTGTAATATCTTGTTAAATCTATGCAACCATTATGTGATAGAGACATTATCTTTAGCACCATTTTCAAACTGAGGGAACTGAAACTCAGACCGCTCAGGTAATATATACTCTTCTTCACATTAGTTCAGTAAATATTAAATAAGTATCTCAAAGCATTTGCATCCCCATAATAATCTGAAATTTAAAAAAGGGGTCTCTTATGTGCCTCGTGTTTTTCTAAGTGGTTGGCAAACTGTGGTGAAAAAGACAAATAATTCTTTGTTCCTATGGTAAGAGGTGTAGTAAAAAGGGAAAATAAAATATGAACAAATAAATGCAAAAATGAAATAATTTCTATCAGTTGAAGGAAATAGCAAAAGATTATATAAACGTGGTGGTCAGATGAAGCCTGAGAAGTTATTTTTTGAGTGAGACCTGAATAACAAGAAGGAATGCAACCATGAAAAGGAGCTAACAGATCTTTTCAGGCAAAGGAAACAGCAAGTGTAAAAAGGCTCAAGGCATTTATGTTAAAAGCTACAGTTGTAACTCCTTTAGCTGAATTTTTGCAATGGCTATTTTTGTTCGTTTCTCAAAAAGACATGTACACCTGGAGGGGTATGTCTTGCTTTTATAATAGAACAGGACTCTCATACTAATTGCCAAAGTAACACAAAGATATTTTATTTTCTCTTGGCAAGCTGAACAGAGTACACTTTAATCAGATAGAGTGGGGCTGTATAAGTCAAATGTGTATGGCTTAAGCAATTACTTATTTGCTTGTGAAATACTTTAAGTTAAAGAAATCATGAACAAAGAGGAAGAAAAACAAATGCTGTGGACATAAAGAGGCTGAGAATATGCAACCAAGAGGTGAACTTAGGGCCTCTGACCAAGAGCTCATCTAAGCTGCCTGTCGTCAAGTAGAATGTTTGTCTACATGTACGTGGATTCTGGAATAATCTATGAAAGGCTTGATATAGAAAGATTATTTTTTTTAAAGAAATGAGTTGAATATCATATTATTAATGAGTTAAAGTAAAGATGATGCTTGCCTCATTGTATGTCAAAAAAGTGGTTTGTTCAAACATTTTTTAAATGTAGACAATCGGTTACTAACAACATACCAATTAGGAGTGTACACCTTTCTAAGATTTTTTTGTCCTATCTTGTATATACTGTCTAATATATAGAACTAAAGTCAATTTCAAGGGAGAAAATATTTATTGATACTTTGGAAAATTAAAAACAACACAAAATCAACTTTGAGTGTTGTGGGTTCTTAATGTTTCTACCTAAAGACTTAAGGAAATAAAAAAAAACGCTCTGAGATATTAATAGGTTAAGATATCTCAAGTAGTGGAATACTTTTAATTATTTAATTTAAATAATTTTTTAATAATTTAAACAGCCTACAAGTTTTGCCTCAATTTATAATAGCTTAATCTTCTCATTAAAAAGTGAAAAAGTATGAGTATCATATTTTCAAAATGAAAAGTAATCTGAGTCCTAGTGAATCTATCTAGTACCGGTATCTTGTTTAGAAATAGAGAAATGCATGTGGCATAGAAGTCAAAAGCTGCAAAGTATTTCAGAGTTTCTTGCTCTACCCACTTTTACTCCAAAACTCCCAACATCTAACCTGATGCCATTTAACTTTCGCCTGCAGGCTCCAGGCTTAATCTGATCACCAGCAAGGGATGACATAAATCAAAGCAATTCAAGGCTCAGCCTTAGATATGCCCTGCTGCCTACTAAGACCTGTACTTCTTTGCATATTTTGCTTTGTTCTTCATAACCAAATCATTGACTTATATTTCAATTAACAATTACTGAGAACCTTTCCTACCCACTTCTACCAGTTTCCTTTCTGGTCATCCCTTACTTAATTCAGCCTCATTTTCTGCCCTGGACCTTGGACCCTGAACCTTAGTCCCCACTGTAGCCTCCCACTATGTTTTTGCCAAATTCATGTATCACCTTCCTGCTATTATCCAAGTTTCTCTATCCACCTGCCAGTGTGTTCTGGTCTTGCACACTTTTGCATTACCTGACACAGAGACAAGGTTCCAATTCTAGGTTTTTTGTTTTTTTTTTTCTAATAAGAAAGTGCTTCTTAAATCTGCTTGTATATAATAATCATAGGAGGGATTGAAGAAACTATAATTTCTGGGGTACACATTCCAAACCTATTGAATTAAAAACCAACCCATATCACAAAAATCAGTATTTTATAAAGACCCTCACTGATTTTCATATTGCAAGGATTAGCAAACCTGAAGATATTTTAGAATAGCTTGAGAAACTCAAGGAAATCTATTTCTGGACCCCACTTCAGATACATTTAATCAAAATCTTGGGAGCAGACCCAGGTCTAGGTAGCATTTCTAAGCTCATCAGGTGATTCTAATATATAATCAGAGTTGAAAAGCACTGAATCACAACCAAAATATTTGGGACTCACTGTTCAAAGACACTTTGAATCATCTACTTTTGATTATACTGGTTACTATCTATATTATTATCTGGACTGCCTCATATCTACTGTTTATGTATAATTTTAGTCATCACTCATTACATATTTTTTTTAGTGCTGAAAGGTGACAAGTATAATGCTAGGTTCCACTGCCCACCCAATCTTGACAGATTTCTATAGACTTGGCTGTGATTTTTTAAGAAAAGCAAACATATATCATTAAAACTTACAGGGAGGCATTTATAAAATACTAAATTCCTGAGATCTTATAGCCAGGGAGTGGCTTTCTTGTGTAATAGGAATATCACAGTTGCAATAATTTAAGCAAAGCAAATATTTTGCCAGTAATATTGAGTCTAAAAGTTGTGCACTTCTGAAAAAAAGGAAAGGAAACAAAATAAGCAATTGTTGAAAGAGGGAGGGGGGAGAAAAAGAGAGAGAGAGAGAGAGATAATGCACATGAGCTAGGGAGAGAGCTGGCAGAAAGAAACAATAGAGAAAGAAGATGCTCTTCCTTGGTAACTTTGAACTAGGTATTTTACATGGCCCAATTGATCCAAGGAATCTTTCTTAGGTTCAATATACATGAGACTTCGATACCAGTGGTCTTTTTGTCTTCCAGGAGGCATTGACAATATCTGAAAACATTTTGGGTTATCACAACTTTGGGTAGGGTGCTACTAAAGTCTAGTGGGTAGAGCCCAGGGATGCTGCTAAACATCCTACAATGCAAAGAACAGGACCACACAGCAAAAATTATCCAGCCTAGTGTATCAATAGTACTGAGGTTGAACAGTCCTGACCTATAACAGTAAATTAGGAAGAGTCTGAGCTGAAGCTGAAGAAAAGATTGTTGAGCAATTGGAATCAGGGAGACAGAAATCTAAGTTTATATAAAAGCCTTGCTAAGTTTATATTCTAGTCTAAACTAGCCCACGATGTGAAACAAAGGAAGAAAACAGAACAAAGGCAATATAAGTAGAAAGAGATCCAAATAGAACTGTGACAGATTCAGCTAATGGTAACTCCATACAGCACTGTTCAGCAGAGGTTTCTGTAATAATGGAAAAGTTCTGTATGCAAACTTTCCAATACAATTGCCACTGGCCATATCAGGTTACTGGGGACTTGAAATGAACCTATTGAGCTAGTATGAATGAGGAACTGAGTTTTTAATTTTATATAATTTTAGTTAAAAATACTTCAAATATTAAAATACAGTCAATACTCATTATTCACAGATTCCAAATTTGAAAACTTGCCTATTTGCCAAAACTTATTCTAACCCACCAAATCAATACTTATGTTAGTTTTACAGACATGGGCAGATTGGTAGAAAATTTGAATCATCCGATGCATATGTTCCTACTTGAGGTTAAACAAGGCAAGACACTGCTTTCCTGTGTCAGCTCCCATACTCTAACGTTTCCTTTTTGTGGTATATTTTATGTCATATTTTCACATTTTTTTTGGTTTTGTTAATGATTTTTATATTTAAAGTTATCCCCAACTGTAGTGCAGAAGTATACTTAGTCCAGGAAGTCTGTGATGTATCTTTATGGAGAAATTTATTTCAAGAATGAATTATAGTGCTGTTAGCAATGAGTTCAATGTCAATGAATCAACATCATTTCAATATGTGTATTAATAAGGTGTATTTAGAAAGTAACACACAACAAACAATGTTATGTATTAATCTACTGATAAAAATATTGTGCCACGAGGCACACAGGGATCTAAATCTGCATTTTCTCTAGAAGCAATGGTTCAGTGTTCACTAATCCAGTGTTTTTGATGACCTTAGGAAACATACCTACTTCAAATAATGAGAATAAAGTGTATTAGAAATTAATTTCTTTGAACTAGAGCAGAAATGTTACTGCTGAAACTGATTAAGCCTTTTATATATGTCATCAAATTTCACTGACTTAGCACTAAAATTATAGAAATATTCAAATATCTATTTTTTAAATAAAAAGTACCATAGTCAAAAATTTACTAAAACCCAACTGTATCACTATCAATATACAGAAATGAAACATCTATTTAATAATTCTGTAGCCTCCTTTAAATAATATATAAAAATTCAGGTGGATTGAAGAAAGATTATCTAAATTTCAATCTACTCTGATAGTAGATAATCTGATATGCATGGAGTCATGACAAACCAAAAATTAAACTATTAATTTATTTGATCCTATAATAAATGTGGAGTTATTTTGGAGTCATTTGTATTCCAAAATCTCTGTAAGAATTGTATAGTGTAACTATCAATGCATACTTTATGTTAACCATGCATATTCAGCTTAAGTTTGTATTTATTTTTTCACTTTTACAAAGTACCACATTTTATGTAAGGCAATATCATTGTTTATAATTTTATTTATTGGGAACATATATGTAACTGTATTTTCAGGATTATCCTGAAAAAGAAAACATATACACATATATATGTGTATATATAATATATATTTTATTATAACTATCTACAATTATATATTCCAATTTTTCATATACATTTATATATAAATAATTATGATCTATATGTATATATAGAGAGATTGATTATAAGGAATTGGCTCACATGATTATGGAGGTTAATAAGTTCCAAGATCTGAAGTCCACAAGCTGGAGAGCAGGAGAAGTGATGATGTTGCTCCAGTACAAAAGCTGGCAGTCTTGAGACCTGGGAAGAATTCATGTTTCAGTTCAAGTCCAAAGGCAGAAAAACAGAGATGTCCCAGTTAAAGGAAGTCACACAAGAGGAATTCCCTCTTATTCGGGAGAGGGTCAGCCTTTTGGTTTATCGAGGCCTTCAACTGATTGGATGAGGCCCAACTCCATTAAGAAAGAATTTTTTTTTCAGCCAAAACACCTCAAAGTTTATTAGTAATATAGGTGTTTGAATATAACTACTGTCCATAAATGCTGTAGCAAAGGGATTAATATACTGATTTGAAGATTGTCTGCCAAATAGATAGGGCCTTTCTTTGGAACAACCAAATTTTATTGGCCGTCTATTATAGTATATCAACTTAAATGTTAAATATATCCAACAATATTCTCATAAAAATACCCAGAATAATATTTGGCCAAATATGTAGGCATCTACTAGTCCAGTCAAATTAACACATACAATTAACCATTACAGTGACCAAGATATATTGAGGCACAATCTTAAAATTAATTGTTTCTTTAGCAAACATATATATTGAGCAGGCTTATTCTAAGAAATTTCCAACTGTTCTCTCAATTAAGTTCTATACATATCTCATGTAGTAACTCTACTTGCAGATTAGGAAACTGAGGCATAGTGAAGTCAATTAATTTTTCTAAAGTAATACAACTGGCAAGTTTTAGAGCCATATATAAACCTATTCCATAACCTCAAAGCATGAGGCTATGTTGCCTTTTTATCTTCCTACAAAAAGTCCTCCTCCACACCTAAACTCACTTTACTCTTACAATAACATGCTGAAATAATCATTATTGCCTTCATTCTACAAGTGGGAAACTGAGTTTCAGAATAATTAACCAGGTATATAAAATTGGAAATGTACTAAGACAGAACTAAATTTCACTTTTTAAGAAATTTCTGAAGTAATCTCAATTATAAAGTGGAAACACTGGATAAAATATTTTTTTTGTTGAGCCATTATTGTATAACTGACATAAATGGACATGCAATATACTTAAAAAATAATCATGTGGAATCAGAATTTCTAAAATATTTTTTTCTGCCTGCTACTCAGTTATTGAGTTAATATATCACCAAGACACACTTGTTCTAATTATGTAACAGTGTGATTCATCACCACAAATACACTATCACACTGATAATGTATTACTCAATAAAGTCACAACAGCTGGCAAGAACATCCACCGAATTATACAATGTGTAAATTTATTGTGTTTTATTATTTAATTTACTCAATTCAGGACAAAAGAAGACAACATAGCTGTGAAACCTCAAGAGAAAGTTTAAAATTTTCCAAATTAGCTTTTCTACTGTCCTTTCCATAATGGAAAATGTAAAAAGCTGTAATTTAATTTTATTTATAAACTTTGTATTTGCTTGGCAGCTTAATAGTCATCGTGAGAAAGCCTCTATGTAATGACCTATTTGAGTGTCTCTGGTAATATTTAAATAGTGTCTAATCCTTTTGATATCCTAAATAAAGTTCTATTTCCATTCTAGAAAGGGAAGCTGATAATAAAAGAGATTGAAATGATCTTTATATTCTTTGCTATTTTTATTATGTGCATATCAAGTTGTAGCTAAGGTTATATCCTACAGAATTGATCTCCATATGAATCTTGTAAGATTGAGAGTAACTCACAATCTTGTTCTTATGATTTTCAAGCTGGACATCAGATGTGCTGAAACAATAACATTTGTGTAGCAGTAAGTACTTTTTTTGTTGGATTTTTCTGATTTTCAAATATGAAATAACAACCTCTAAAATCCTGAAAAAGACTCTTCACCTGCACATTTGCTCTATTTTTGCTTCTAAAACAAATATGCTTAAAAGGACTTCTTCCTGAAGTTTCCAATAAAATCTTCCTCCAAATAATGGCTTTTCAAACTGACTCCACTGAAGGGCATAATCATATGAACTATTTATTTTTATCCCATTTGTGGTCTTACTGTCTCAGCCGCATAGAGTTGAAAACTCTATCTTTGACTTTTCTGTCTCCTTTGTCCCACCACCAGGTCAACTGACAAAACAACATTTACTTTGGGGATATCTTTAAAAACTGATCTTTGTCATTCTGCTTGTTGAGTCTTTCAGGTATACTGCAACCACCGCATGAGTGATACATTTGAATCACCATCAGGCTTAGAATAAAGGCAAATCTCTGATGTCCTGGATCTTCTATATTCCCCTCAAGATGCTCACTGAGTCTCCCTTTCTTCAAAGGATATCTTGTCTACCAACAATTTCACAGGTTTTGTGGAGTTTAAATAGCAAAGAGCAATAATATAAAGACTCTAAATTGCAATATAATATAAGGCCAAAGGGGATTCTTTGGAAATGGAGTGTGAAATGTTGGAAATAGGAATGGCTTTGACTCAAATAGAAATAGATTTGAATAGTCAATCTACCTGGAAGTGGTACATAACTTTATAAGGATCACCATAAAATGCAACCGATTAGTAGGCACTTATTTTTTCTTCTTCTAAATAGTCCATTTGAATCTATCCAACATACTGCCTCTGGGTATGGGGCCACATAGGAATTAGGTCTAGCAGACCTCCATCGATAGGTTCACTGTTGACCAAGAGCCCCAGATGCTGCACTCTGAAATTCATCACAGTCAGACTTCCTCAATAGGTGGGCACAGCAAAAATACTTAAGTCAGGCCTGTTCCTGAAAAATATGGAACTCCTCTGATTTTGACTTTGGGACTGCTGGAGGACAGTTGAACATTTCCAAAACATTAAGGCAGTTGATCTCCTTCCCTTGAGATCAGATTTGCTTGCTGCTTCATAATTCTCCCATCCTTCACTCAGATTCTCTTCCAATTTTCTCTCACTGTGGTGGTTAATTTTAAGTGTCATCTTGACTGCATAGAGGGATGCCTAGATGATTGATTAAGTATTCTTTCTTTCTATGTCTATCAGAATGTTTTTGGAGAAGATTGGCATGTGAGCTGGTGGATGGGGTAGAAAAGATCTGACCGCAATGTGAGTAGGCACCATCCAATTAGCTGGGAGCCCAGATGGAATAAAAAGGCAAAAAAAAAAAAAAAAGGGTGAGTTCTCTCTCTCTCTACTACCCCACTCCTGGAGTGGAATGTCCTTATCTTTCTTCCCTTCGACTTCAGAACTCCAGATTCTTTAGCCTTTGAACTCTAGAACTTGTACTAGTGGTCTCCTGGGGCTCTTTGGCCTTTCAACTAAGAATGACAGCATTGGCTTTCTTGGTTCTCAGGCTATCTAGTTGGTACTGAGTAATGTTAATAGTTTCTTTGATTCTAAAGCTTGCAGATGACTTACTATGGGACTGCTCAGCCTCCATAATTGTTTGAGCTGATTCCCCAAATAAATCTCATACATCTCTATATTTATCTATTTATATCTATCTATCTACCTATTTATCCATCTCCTATTGGTTCTGTCTCTCTGGAGAATCCTGATTAATATATATTCTCTCATGGTATCATAGACCATTCAGACTACTATAACAAAAACACTATAACTAGGTGGTTTCTAACAATAAACATTTATTTCTCAAAGTTCTGGAGGCTGGGAAGTCCAAGATCAAGGTGCTGGAAGATTAGGGTCTGGAAAGGGCCCTTTCCTCATAGACAGCAACTTTTCACTGTGTGCTCACATGTTGGAACAAACAAACAAGCTCTCTTGGGCCTCTTTTACAAAAGTACTAATCCAAGTCATGAGAGCTCTGCTCTCAGATCTAGTAACCTCCAAAGTCCTGCCTCTTAATATCATCATAGTAAAGATTAGCCTAGATTTCAAAATATGAATTATGAAGGTGAACAAACATTCAAATCATAGACTTTCATTCAGGGGCTCCCAAAATTCATGTCCTTCTTCAATGAGAAGGACATCTTAATAGACTTCCATCTTAATAGACTCCAAAGTATCAACTCATCCCAGCATCAACTCAAAAGTATTTAATGTAAAATTATGAGTTTTACTTAAAACTAGACAAGGGTGAGACTCAAGGTACACACTATCCTGAGGCTAGCTTCCCTCCAGCTATGAGCCTGTGAAATCAAACATGTTATATGCTCTAAAATAGTCTGACAGACATGGGATACACATTTTATTCCAAAAGGGAGAAGGAAAGAAAAAATGGGTAACAGTTCCCAAATAAGTCCAAGACCAATAGGGAAAATATTACATTTTAAGGCTGAAAAATAATATTCTTTAAATCAATGGCATGCCTCCTAGACACAGTAGGGCAGGGATTTGGCCTCAGGGCTCCAGATGACCCTGCCCCAGTGAATTTGCTGGACACTGCCCTAGTGGGAGTTGTCTATAGTGGCCCTACCCTAGAGCTGATCCTCTGCCTGGGTTCAGTGCCCAATGCTCTGGGTGGCTCAGTCCTTCAAAATCTAGAGAAGGTAGCTACATCCCCATGGCTCAGGTACTGTGTGCATCTGTGGATATGGATGGCAAGTTTGTGTGTGGATGATAGAAAGGTTTAACACTCGTGCTCTTTGTAAGTGTGGACAGTGTGGCCCACACTACACTGGGCCACTGAAGCCACACCTGGATGGCTGAGAAACTCTGTGGCAGATGCAGGGAGCAGAGGCTTGAGATGGCTCTGGCCAGAAAGTACCAAGGGTCCATGAGTGCTTGAAAACTCTCTTTTGACATGATTTTGTCTCCTGGGTCTTGGCACTCTGGGCCTGTGATGGGAAATGCAGTACCGATAATCTTTGAATGACTTAGGTATCTTTCTCACTATCTTGATAAATAGCACCTGACTTCCACTGATTCATACAAAAATCTTTATTAAACAGTCACTTGGCCACACCCTGGTATTCTCTGCCAAACACACTTTCTCATTTTTTATCATATGGCAAGGATGAGAATTTGACAGACCTTTACATTCTGCTTCCTTTTTGATTATAAATTTTCTCTTTAAGTTGTTTATCTATTTTTTGCCTTTTGCTATAAATATTCAAGAGAAGCCATGCTACTCCTTCAATACCTTGCTTAGATATTTCCTCAGCCAAATCTCCAATTTCATCATTCACAATTATACCTTTTGTAAAATACTCAGACAGGCATGTAATTTAGTCAATTTCTTTGCCATTTTATAACAATGATTGCCTTTCCTCCAGTTTCCAATAACATGTTATTTATTTCTATCTGAGACCTCATCATTATAGCCTTTATTGTCCATATTTCTCAAAACATTCTGCTCAGGACCACCTAGTAATCTCTAAGAATATTAAGGCTATCATACATTCTCCTCTTCTAAGCCATCGCCAGAATTGCCTTTTATGATCCATTCCCAACAATAGAGGCTTTTTTTTAGTAGGTACTTCAAAACTTTTCCAGTCTCTTCCTATTACTCAGCTCCAAAGCCAGTTGCACCTTTTTAAGTATTTGTTATAGCAGTGCCACTCTTCACACCAATTTCTGTCTTAGTCTGTTCAGGATACCACAGCAAAAATATGAACTTCTTGATTTATAAACTACAAATATTTATTTCTCACAATTCTGGAGGGTGGGAATTCCAAGATCAAGGCACTGGAAGATTTGGTGTCTGAGGAGGGCTTATTTTCCTAGATAGCAATGTCTCCCTGCATCTTCACATGAGGGAGGGGGCAAACAAGCCCCCTTGGGCCTCTTTTTAAAGACAATAATCCAATTCATGAAGGCTATGCCCTCATGTCCTAATTACATTCTAATGGTTACACCTCTTAATACCATCTTATTTGGGATTATTAATAGGTTTCAATGTATGAATTAGGGGAGGGGTATAAACATTCAGACTATAGCACATGATTCCCTTAATAAAATACTGGTACATTTAATTCAGTCTTGGTATTTGCTTCCCAGAGAACTCAGACTAACACAAGAGGTGATCTATAACACCCTCAAAATCTACCCCTAGTTACCTTCCAAAAATCACCATCAACAAAATCATACCCATTTCTAGTGCCATGATTAATCTCTTTATTATCAATAAAATGAGGCAACATATTCCCTAATGAATAATAAGCCCTCAAATATACAATGTTTAAACTTTAGAACTATCTATCATATGTGATAAGATTCTTATCGTTTTGCATAAAGGAAAGCACAGGCTTACAGATATTAAGTAAATAAACACGTCTAATACTGATAATAGATGGTCAAGGAGAAATTTAACCCTGTTCTTCCTGATTCAAAAGCAGGGCTTTTGAAAGATGTGAGATGCTGCCTCCTGAGTATCATCTAACTATTACCTCATGTGTCAAATAATACACCTCAAACTTATTTCCAGATCATCACTGCTTCTTCTCTCCCATTATTGCTCTGTCTTAATATATTTGTGTTTCCAATATTACTGCACATTTCACAAATGGCAGCAGTTCAATAAGGATTCAATAAATATGTATTAATTAATGAATCAACATGTAGATGATGGACCAGTTAGCTTTCAAAAACTTACACTTACAGATTTTTGAATCTTATTCATAAGTACTCAAAATTTTTCTGACAAATTCTTTTCTTTTCAGAGTTTTTCATAATGCAGTATCATCACAAGCTCGATAAACATCTGCACAGAGTCATTGGAAACTGAAGACAGGAAGAATGTAATTAATTTTACTGAAGTACACAATTTAAAATGTCTACAACTCTTCTGTTACTGAATTTAAATATAGCTTCAACTTAAGCACAAGATTATGTTTTCATACATGGGAATTTTTGTCATTTTGACTTTGCTATATTTCCAATATATTTATTTCTACATTTGACCATACTTTTATATAATAGACTTTTAATAATTATAAAATAAAGAGTAATTTATGGAAAACAAATTTTCATTTAATTAAATAGGCCAAATTAGAATAAGGAAAATGTTAATATGATGCCAAGAACAGATTTATCCCTAGTCACAACTAAATATTTATACATTTTTACATTCAATAGTTGACAAAATATTTCTCAATTTTAATGACAGTAGAAGGAAATTTATTGTAAGAGCCAAACCACATTCCTGGAGTATATTTCTTAACATAAAAACTAACTTTTATGAATAAACAAAAATGTCAATTTTAGTAGTGTATACCTTCTAGATTTCTGAACCTCATTTTGTTTATTGCTGTGGAAATTACTGCTTACCAAATTGCATCCCCATGGTGTGAGTGAATCAGAAAAGTATATGTGTATACAAAGCTGTCACATTTAGCATGAGAAAATTTTAGAGCTTGAAATTGGCATTGAAATGACAACCTAATCCTACTGTTTACAATATCGGAAATGTGCTACTAAGTACCAGGTTAATGCAATAAAAAAGGTGCATTTTCTCAGTTTAAAGAAAGTAAAACGTGGTTCGTTAAACATAATGTGTGTCTAATCTGAAACTGTTTAAACTTGCAAATACTCATTAATGCAGTAACCTGAAGTCATTTTATTACTTTCGTTTCACTCTTTCCACTAATTTTTATTGAGCACCACTTATGTGCAGGACACTCTGAAACTCATTTTACAGGAAATATACCATCTGGTATTGGAGGTAAGACATGTATACAAATAATCATATGTATCACTTAAAATTATAAAAAGATCATAAGAAGGATTCTGTTCTGGTAAAATGGCAGCTTGAGTGAAAGCATCTAAGTATTTATTTCCCAAAGTTAATGAAATCCCTGATTTGAAAAAAAAAAGTTTCAAAATAAAACATGAGCTTAATTTAGCAATTGAGAGAAATTTAGACATCTACATCAATGGGAAAAAAAATAATAAATGGATTTTATTGCTGCTCACTTGTTAGACCTAATCCTGTCCCATGGCACATCCATTTGGCTCTGTGTTTTTTCAAGTGGTCATAGGATTCCAGAAGGAATGCTGCACGATAGCTGAGACTAAGAATTACCTGGATGCTTATGTAAGCACCATTGAAGATACCCTGAAGAAAGAGGCTGCAGCTAAGCTGTGCTCATATTCCTGAGCCAGGGAAACTTACAGATAATTAATGTGCTATGCTTTAAACTTCTACATCTGTGATAATTTTATTAGGCAGCAATACATAACTAATATATGCTCTTATGTCATTATAAATAAGACTTCTCTTATAGTGATCTGGTACTCCTAGCAATCTGAATATTTAAAATTTCTCTTTCACGATGATATTTTTAAAATTTCATCATACAGCTATAAATTTATTAGAATAAATAGTAAATAAAAAGAATTGTCTGAAAAAGCCTGTAAGGGAGTATTGTGAAAGAAGCAAAGTAGCATTTGATATAATCTCAGGCCTCCACAATAGGTTTATAAAAACAAGAGCAAAAAAAGAATGGGGCTCAAAAAATGAAAAAAAGTTATAAAACAAAGTATTATAATTAAAATATAATAAAAATTTCCTCCCTTTATGGGTTGTCTTTAGCCATTATCTTCAACCAGGAATGTCTGAATACTGGTTGTGATATTAAAAATGTAGCACCTGGGTTTCTGGTTCTACAGGCAAGGAGCTTGGAAGTCACTGTTTCCATTCTAAAAACAAATTAAAGAGTTGAAAAATCGAAAACTCTTTTTAGATTGGGAAAAGGTGAGATTAAAGGGCAAATTGTTGCTCCCAAAATTAGTGAAATAGACAAGTAGATACAGAGCAGATACTTCCACAGGAATCAGTGCTGGCGTAGGAAAACCTGAACTGTAACTGAAAAAAATGCTGAAGTTCAGTGTAGACAAGTCTAAAACTTAAAAACTCCAGGGGGACCCAGCCATGGGGAGGGTCCACACTTTTGTGAGTTTTGTCTCTAAGAGCTCCACTCAGTTGTCAGAGTAAATATCAGAGTAAAAAATGTCCTCCTGCTTCTAGAAGGGAAAGGAATAAATGAAACATTTGAAATACATAAGAGCATTCTGATCTTAGCAAGGTTTTCCCTCAGGAGAAACTAGTTAACCATAACTAAACCTACTAGAGTTGTATCAGAGTCTAACTTACCTCAGAGCAAAAATAAGAATTATACCCAACTTTTTTGGTCCCTGGTCTTACTAGAAAAGCTTTGAGTTTTACATCATTAAGTATTATGTTAGCTATGGGAGTTTATTTATAGATTATTTTTAATAAACTGAGGGAATTTCCCTTTATTCCTGGTTTATTTAAAGTTTTTATTTTTTTTATCATGAATGGGTGTTGGATTTTTTTTAAAATGCTTTTAATTGTGGGAAAATCTTTTATCAAGTTCTGTGCAATTATATAATGACAGTCACTGTAACTTATTGACTACTATTCTAGGAACTGGACAGGGTGCTCTTTTCTAGTCACCCACAGTTGGCTGACTTGTACCACAGTATTCTTGATCTTCTCTTCCCACAGCTTGTGCCAGCAATTGGTCTAAAGTCTTCAGACTTGAGCAGTGACAAAGTGTGAGAGAGCACAGGTATGCCTATGGTGGAATCAGACATCTTGTTTCTATAACAGCTTTGCATTTCTAAAACTTTTAGAGGGGGAGGAAAGAGTTCATTTTTAAAAATTTCTTTGCTTATATGTCAAAACCATTCATGATGTGACTAATCAATTTCAAGGTTTTCATGAAATGAAATATTTTATAATGTTTTAATATTTGCTGTTATTTAATCATTTATGTCAAAAATATTGGTGGAATAGTAAAACACAGTTTAGAAATATCAACCTAGTGTCTATTAGTCTATTTGTATTTGCTAGTGAGGCATTATAGGCTATAGCCTATGTTTGTTACTGAATAAACGAACTTCTCAATTCTTCTAAATTTAAAAAAAAATTTTTTCATAGCTGGTAACTGATTTTTAATTACATAAAAATTTGTTATTGTTCATAACTTTATATTTCTCTAGATACTATGTAAATTGGAAAAAAATGAGCAAACCCAAAAGCATTTTATAGATCTATGATATTTTTTCTTTTTCATTTTTTAAATTTTTATTTATTTTTTATTTATTTCAGAATATTATAGGAGTAAAAAAGTTGTTTTGGTTACATGGATTGCTTTTGTATTTTTTGAGTCAAAGTTATGTGTGTGTTCATCACCCAGATAGTGTACACTGAACCCATTAGGTAAGATTTCATCCATCCCTTCTTCCATCCTCCCACCTGCATGATTTCTGTTGAGTTTTACTTCCATCTGTGGACAAGAGTGCTTATCGGTTGATTCCAATTTCATAGTGAGTACATGTGGTATTTGTTTTTCCATTCTTGCAATATGTCAGTTAGGAGGATGGTATCCAGTTCCATCAAGATTGTTGCAAAAGGTATTAATTCACTTTTTATAATTGAGTAGCACTCCATGGTGTACATATACCACATTTTACTAACACATTGACTGCCACACCAGAAAAAAAAAATCTTTTTCCTTAGGGCCACAGTTTTTTTATTATGAAAATAGTATATAAACTTTGAAAATAAATTGATCCTTTCTAACTTAATAAAAGAGTTATTTTTTATTGTTTTCTGTGTGTGAGTTACATGCAACTTGAAAAATAGTTCACGTAGCTCCCAAAGTGGAGGAATGTGAATTACATATGCTTCACAAGGCCACAGGGTCAAAACTAGCATGAGTTAAATACAACTCACTTATCAGTTAATGTGTAATCCACTCATAAATTGATGAGCACTTGGATTGATTCCACGTCTTTGCGATTGTAAATTATGCTGCTATAAACTTTGAATAAAAGTGTCTTTTTGATAAAATGACTTTTGTTCCGTAGTGGGATTGCTAATCAAATTGTAGATCTACTTTTAGTTCTTTGAGGAATCTCCATACTATTTTCCATAGAGGTTGCATTATTTGCAATCCTATCCACAGTGAATTTACTTTCTGCATCCACACCAGAATCTATCGTTTTGGAACTTTTTGATAAAAGCCATTTGCACTGGGGTTAAGTGATATTTCATTGTTGTTTTGATTTGCATTTTTATGATGATTAGAGATTTTGAGCATTTTTTAATATGGTTATGGCCATTAGTCTATTTTCTTTTAAAATGCTTCTGTTCATGTCTTTTGTCTACTTTTCAATGAGTTGTTTGATTTTTTCTTGCCGATTTGCTTGAGTTCTTTGAAAATTCTGGTTATTAGCCCTTTATCAGATGGATAGCATGCAAACATATTCTCCCATTCTGTAGGTTGTCTCTTTGCTCTGTTAATTGTTTCTTTAGCTGTGCAGAAGCTTTTTGACTTAATCAACTTAAAAAAATTCAAAATATTACTACAGTACATATGTTTTTGGTTGTATGTATAGATTTTGTTATGCTTGAGTCAGGGTTATAAATGTCCCCATCACCCAGATAATGTACATTGTACCCTTAGGTAGGTTTTAGCCTGTCCTCTTCTTCCCCTCCCCACACTTGATTTCCATTGTGTTTTACTTCTGTCTGTGCATGTGTGTTCTTCTGTTCCAATTTAATAGTGAGGACATGTGATGTTTGTTTTTCCATTCTTTAGGTGTTTCACTTAGGAGAATGGTCTCTAGTTCCAATCAAATTGTTGCAAAAGGCCTTAATTCATCCTTCTTTGTGGCTGCGTAATATTCCCTTACACATACCATATTTTGTTAATTCATTCATGTACTGATGGACACTTGGGTTGATTCCACATCTTTGCAATTATAAACTGTGCTGCAATAAACATTCATGTGCAGGTGTCTCTTTGGTAAAATGACTTCTTTTTCTTTGGGTAAATACCCAGTA